CACTTTGTAGACCAGGCTGGCCTTGAACTCACAGAGATCCAATTGCCTCTGCCTTCTAGGTGCTGGGATTAAAGGCATGCACCACTAAAGTGTGGGTTGTAAATGCTGTCCCTATCTCCTGCAAAATCTTGTTTTTTTCTGATCTTTTCTTTGTTTCTGCCCCTCCCTTTCTTCCTTTGTTGAGAACTAAACCAAGGGCCTTGTTAGGTGATAGCTATGCCACTGAGCTACAATCTCCCAGCTGCAAACGTGCTGGATTCTCCTCCTGCCAGGAGTGTGTAGGAACTGCCTTCTTTCTAAAAATGTGACCCATCCAGAGGAGCTGGCATTGAGCTGCAGAGGTTAGAGCAGTCACTCAACTTCCTAATGCTGCAACCTTTAACACCATCGGTTCCTCATGTTGTGGTGAACCCGACCATAAAATTATTTTCATTGCTACTTCATAATTATAATTCTGCTACTGTTATGAATCTTGATGTAAATGTCTGATATGCAAGATATCTGACCCCCATGGAAGGGCCTTTTGATCTCCTAAAGGTGTCAAGACCCACAAGTTGAGAACTTCTAGGTGGGAGGCTCTCTAAGGTGAATAGGTGATCTGTGGGGGGGGGAAAGAGGGGAGATCCTGACACAGACATCTTGTCTCCTTGGCTAGGCAGTCACTCTCTGTCTCTGCCTCCAAGGGGAGTCCCCGTCCTAGGTACAACCTTGGCTAGCTGTGCATGTGTGTGTTGTGTGCACAGGCATGCCTCTGTATGTGTGTGTGTGTAGTGTGTACCTACATCCCTGCAAACACACACTTGCAAAGCATTCGAAACTTTTGGGAACATTCAGAAGACAGAGAAGGAAAGGTCAGCAACATTTCCTCAGGAAGATACGGGGTGACAACCTGTGAGCTGTGAGGGGTGAGCAGGGTGTGAACTGGAGATTCTGATCTGGGCTTTTTAGTGAAGGAAACAAGGTCATGGGCACCTTGCCAAACAGTGGCAGAGCCAGGATGAGGTTCCAGGGCCCTGTATTTGGTAACACTAGGGTGCTGTACCAAGTTGAATCACACAAGAGCTGGGGAGTGGGGAGCACAGGTCATAGCTCGTTTCTGAGTATTAGATGCTATGATAAGGAGGACAGTTCTGTTGCCCACCTAGTCATCATGTACGTCACCTAGTAGAAAGGAGAGGGAGGAGAAATGACAGGACAGTGTTAATCACTATGTCCAATCTTATGAGCCCCAAAGGACTGGCCTTTCCCTGCATGAAAAAACCATAAGGGGCCAGAGCAAAGCTGGGGAAGAGGCAGGGTGCAGTCAGTGTGCCTGCCAAGGCCGTGCACACATGTATATCTCATGGAGTGAATGCATTCTAGCCACGTGGACACACATATGTCTGTGGCACTCAGTGGGCTTGGGTCTTTGGGTATTGTGCCAAAGGTGTGGGTGAGGGCACTAGAGTTCCAGAGTAGTTATAGATGGCTGGGGGTGGGACCTGCTCGTGGAGGAAGGGAAAGGTGCTCCCTGGTAGTCATTGGCCCTGCACTTTCTCTCTCCCTCGTGGTAGCCAGCAGCACAGCCCCCTTAGATGGAAGGCATTCTTGGGAGAGGTAGAGATTACAGAAATCCTGACTCATGCCTGGGATGAGAGCTCATTTGGCTTTTGGACAACTGCCACAGAGTGGCTGCCTGTGGGCCCCTGGCTCTAAAGAGGGCAGCTTGGGTTGGCTGTCAAACCTTTCTCCAAGTGAAAGAAGGGATTGCACTTCCTCTTCTAAACTGGAACAGCCCCAGGAGACTGTCCCAGGGTCTGGAACTAAGGCACAGTTACTGATCATTTGTCCTGCTCTGTTCTTTCCTTCCCACTTGCTGTGAGCCTTGACCATGCTGGTCACTCCCCCACCTGCTTTGCCTGGGCTGTGCTTAAAATGGGAACATTTTCACTTTCTGGAAGGATCAGATAGGATGGAAGCTGCGGACAGCGTGGACACTTAAATGACAGGCTAGCTTCTGTCCTAGGAGTGCAAGGACCATGGGCATGAAGACTGAATCTAGTCTCAGAGGCCAAAGGAAGCTATTTCTATAATCTCTAGCCAAACTGTGCCCAGTTTAAGAGATGGTCAGGAAAAGGGGTGGTGGGTGGTATAGAGGAAAAGGGCTCAGGGCATGATCTACAGTTCAGATGTGCTGTGTGACCCTAAGCAAATATTCTGGGACCCTAACCCTCCCTGGGACTGCTTTCTTTTCTGGCAAGTATGGATGTAGCTGGACTGGAAGGTGTTCTGTTTCCAGTTACCTTGCTCCTGGACCTTGAAAGGGTCAAGCTGGGCTGCTACACACAGGGCAGGGCAGGGTGGTAGGAGCAGAGTTGCAGGCAATGGAGGAATCCAGACTTGAGAGTTTCTGGACCCGTTTGAGTCTCCTCCCACCCCCTTCAAAAAGAGGCCTTTTTCAAGCAGGCTGCCTGGAGTGTGGGGGAAGGGCCTCCAGCGTCTGGGCTGGGCTCAGAGCTAAGAGTAATGTGGCAAAGACTCTTAACGTTTTGCTGATGTTGGAAAATTTAAAGGAGCCATGGCCTTTCTTTCCACCTCCCACGAGCCCCTCGATGGCATGGTTATGGTTTTCACCCAGCACTTTTTTTTAATGCCAGACCCTAAGAACACAGCAGGAGAAGGATGAGGGCTCCCTCACCCTCTCAAAGTCCCCAGTGACATTCACTGGGAATGTGAATCAGGGTGTGATAACGTGGCTGCTCAGGCAGGCATTGCATTCAGACAGGCATAAGGGAGGAGTTACACAAAGGGTGTGTGAAGCTGCAGGAGTTCCCAACCCCACACCCTACTCTAGGGTTCAGCTTCATTGCCTATAAGTGGGGGGCTTCCTTTTTTCTCCTACTCCTACTAGGGTTCTGGATTTGTCTAACAGGATTAGCCTCAGTTTACCCTTTGCCAATTGGGAAAGTCATAGCCCTCTCAGCTTCTGTTCCAATGCTAGTGAGGCCTGGGTACTGACAGATGGAAGGACAGAGAAAAGGAGGACTGGGATGTATGGGATTCTCATGATGGACCTGTTGGAAACCCAGCAAGCTTCCACCACACCCCACCAGCTTTGATGAGCTTTCTTTTGCTGCTTCAGTTCACATCCTACCAGTTGAGTTTCAAAAGACCCCCAAGAGCCAAAATGAGAATGATAATAGAGAGGAGGTTTGGGCTGGGACTTAGGTGGGATCCTTACTTTGCAAAGATTTATCCTTACAAGCAGTACACAGTGGATGCAGGAGGAAGCAAAGGCCCTGGACAGACACCATGAAGAGAGGGAGACCACCCTATGCCTGGAAAGTTTGCTCAAGATCAGATCTGTTCTGCAAAACAATAGTGGGCTGCCTGAAGACAACCTTGTCACTGTGCTTAGAGGGAGGCAGGTAGCTGCCTTTGGGGTACATTTGGAGAAGACTAGGTTTGTAGAGGTAAGTCCTAAGCTTTTAACACAAGCTCACCTCAAACTCGCTACTTTCCTGCTTTCTGCCTCCAGAGTTCTGGGACTTCAGGCATGTGACACCAGAACTGGCACCATGATTGTTTTTGATATTTTCCTTCTATGGTCCTCTCACTGAGGTTCTAACAGGCTAAGATTCTTTCTCTAGGTTTACAGACTTTGTGGGACTTCAATATAAGATTACCGTCTGTGTTCACTTGAGCATTCATATACCCTCTGATTCTTTGATTTGGGTCTAAACCTATTGTTCCCTGTAATTGTTTGATGCCAACACTCCAGGGAAGTCATCTTTTGGGGCACTGGGTGCAAGGATTTACCTGGTCCCCAGGCTCTAGTTAAGATTCTGGGAGAAAGAAGATAATTAGGAGTCTATTGATTGAATGAATGAGAGAGTAAGAGAGAGTAAGTAAATACAGGGTGTGACTCAGTGGCAGAATGCTTTCCTAGCTTTCTTGAGGCCCTGAGTTTGATCCCCAACATGTTGGGAGGAAAGAGGCCTCTCCACCTCATCCCCTCCTTTCCAGGCCCATCATCTGTTGTCTATTATGTCACTATCAGAAGATTAGGGCAATCTCCAAACAACCAGCCTCACCTACTGAATTCTCTACTAACTGCACACACCCCTCAGAAAGGACATCCCCGAGGGTAGGGACTTTGCCCAGTGTGCAGTTTTGTTCACAATACCTAGAACAGTAAAGAATACCATGGGTTAACTCAGAGCTCAAGAGGCTATCAGTGGAGGAGGGTGGGGTGGGGCAGGGTGGGAGAGCTAACTGAATCCCTAAGCCCTAAGAGGGAATGGAGAGGGGTGGGCAGGGATGATCAATTTGAGACAAGAACAGGGCTGTTATGACAACTGGGTGCTAGCCCAGTAAAAGAAGATCGTACAACCTAGAACTTAACATATCCAGGTTGTTCCCGCACACATCTTCGTTTCCAGGGGGACCGCCTAGGTGCCTGTCTCTGAAACCACTTCAAGACTTGGCTTCCAGGGTGTGGGTCCAGCTGGAACTCTTAGGGCTTTTCCTCCCCGGGGAGGTTTCAAGGATGAACACCAGACTACAGAAGGGCACTGACCCGTGCGTCGGACTCTGTCTCCTAAGGCAAAAGAGAGGGGCTCCAACTAAGGAAGGGGGTCCCTGATTAAAGCTTGACAACTGTGGGAAATGAATCTCCTGGGACAGATCAGAGAAATGTGTGGCAGAAGGGATGTATGCACAGAGCAGGCTACGTGGACGTCCTAAAAAGTGGACTCCAGTCTCTAGGAGTAGAACTTTGGAGCTGGTCTGCTTTTTAGTTCACCCTGTAGTTTATACCCTGCCCTCCCACTTGTAGGATCGCGGAGTCCAAAAGATGTCCAGGTTTTAAGGAGCAATGGCCCCAACCCAGCCTAACGAGGGGGCAGTAGGACCCAGGGGCTGGGAGAGCACCCGCAGGCACAGGGGCGGGAGCCAGGGCGGTTTGGGGGAGGTCTTTGGCTTTTTTTTTTTTTCCCCACTCTAGGAGCCACGGCGCTCTCCGGAAACGGTTCCAACTTTCCAGAAGTTTCTTAGGACAAGCAGGAGGGGGTGGGGACAGCCATATATAGATCCCGGCCCCGGGCAGTGAGTTGAGTAGAGCCTGTCTGAGAGCGAGTGTCCCGTCGGTTCCGGAGCAGCTCAGCCCGGCCCAGGTGAGGGACGGGGGCGGCCGGGCGATTTGGCCCGAAGGGGCTGGGGCCCAGTCCAAAAGCCTGGGGTCCTGGCACTGGAGGACGGGGAAAGATCGGACATGGAGCAGTCACCTTTGGGGCCAGGTTAAACATCAAGGTCCCTGGAACTGTAGTCCGATACGCGGACGGACGGGAGGAATCCCAGCAGCTCAGGGAAGGGTAAAGGTGTGGCAGGGACTGAGTGGAGCTGGGACCAAGTGCAGAGATGATCTTCTGCACAACAGAGAAAGGAGTAGGCCTGCTTCTCCCATGGAGAAGAGCCAGCCCTGCTGTCCCTTACTCTGGGGTGAAGCCCCAGGGGCCCGCTGTTGATCCCAGTCCAGCGTTTCCCACTCTCCCCGCTTCCTCCAGGCCTCTGCACCTAGCACAAGAGATGCCGTAGCCTTGGTTCCCTTGACCGGGTGTGGGAGTCCCCAGCTGTTAGGGACCCCTGTGCTTTGGGGAGCATCCTAGAAGTTGGCTGATGGCTGGACTTGACCAGCACTACTTTCACCCGGGTGATTTGAGTCACCCTGGGCGTTCTGTCCAGCCATCTAGCTCCTGCAGGCTGAGGACTTCCTCTGAGGCCCGGGGTACCCAGCCTCCAGCTTGGGGACATTTCCGAGCCTTCAGACGAAAGGAAGAAGGCATTCCCGGTTTGATCTGAAGGCCTAGCTCTCCACTTCCCGTATTTCCTGCAGGGCCCTCTGGGCTCCAGGGCCCGGATGGAGGCCCGTGGAAAAACTGGGGGCTTTGATTGCCTGGAAGTCGGACTAGGCCACACCCTTCTGCTCTCAGATAGTTCCTGTACCCATCCCCCATTCCTGTCAGGTCCTTTGTCTCCTCTCAGGATTCCCCGCAGAGATTTTTTTTTTTTTTTTTTTTTTTTTTGTGGTGGGTTGTGCAGAGTGCTGAGTAACAGTGGTCGACGGAGGATGGAGAGCTTTGCTGAGGGCAGAGCCCCTCACTAGGAATCCTGACCTACTTGAGCCGAGGAGGCCCGAGCTGGGCCCTGCTTTCTCCCTGTGCAGAATCCACCTCAGCAGTACCCACTTTGGGGGCTGGGCCTGACAGGCCTCTGTTCCCCACATCTCTACGGGGTCCCATCTCTTTATTCTTCTGTTTTCTTTCAGAATGAAAAAGGCAGGCAGTGATCTCCCTCTGAGGCAGTTTCAAGGTACTTTAGACCCTTCAAGTATCTGAGTAATCCCCTGCTCCCAGGGCCAGTGGTGGGCATAGCCTTTGGCTCTCTGGTATCTTGTTTTTTTCTTATGGGACTGTAAATAGTCTAACCCTGGCCCGAGGGCTGGCATTTAGCTGTGGCAGATGGGCTAGGTTGTGGGAGCTGGCTTGCTTGCAGAGACTTGCCTACTTTCATTCCTAATGCTGGGTTTACCAGGGTGGCTCTTTTCCCCAGACCTGTCTCTCCTCTCCCTTCAGACTTCTCAAGGGCAGATGTGATACTAAAGCCCAGGAGGCTCCTGATTCTTCAGGCAATTCCTCAGCATCCCTATTTCCCAAGTCAGGCTTCCAGTTTTCTTCCCCTTTGCAGGCCTATGGAGAGAAAGCAACTTCTGCCTGCCACGTCATCACCAGGAGCCTTGTGGCTGCCTGAGGAATCTCAAACTAGTTATTTGGAGCTTTCTGGAGAAGCCCCTCCCAGGCCCTGTGGTTGGCTGGTGTGGGGGCTGTCGAGATGGTGGCTGCCACGTGGCAGGGCTAGGCTTCTCTTCCCCTTCCTTAGGCAGGCTGGTGGCCTCTGCTGGATTAGTGGTCCTTGGAGTAGGGTGTCTGCTGCTGTGATATGAACCATAATGCTTCATTTTACTCTCATAAGTATCTTTGAGTGTATAATGAATTACGCGGTCGCCCAGTCATCCAGGTCTAATGAAGGAGGAGCCTAGTCTGGGCATGAGGACCCCTCCTCTTTTAAGAATGAGGTCTCACATCATCCCCCAAGCTGTGGTTCTCCATTCCCTCTCCCCCTCCAGTTCCTATGCATTGTTCCTTCAAGATCCCTAGAAGGGAAGCAGCTGAGGAGATGGGTTACTGGCCTGGCTGGCTTAGTGTCATCTCAGAAATCCCATACTCTTTCGGGCAGGCCAAGCTCTCGAGGGTCTTCCCTTGTTCTTCCTAGAAGACTATGACGGGGTCTTCTACAGCAGGGGCAGCCCACCCTCCACCAGGGTTCTTTGTGATCTTGTGGTCTACTTGCCTGAACTGCTGCATGAAGTAGAGGGGGCGCAATGAGATGAAGAGGGTGTGGGGGCGGAGACCTTCGTGATCTGGGGCTTGTCTTGGGGACCCTTGCTATGGCTGGAGTTTGGGGAGGTTCTAGAATAGATGGAGATGTGGCCATGGCTGTCCCACGGGAGGGCAGAATGGAATTTGTGGCTCTGGCTTCCTGAAGGATGCAGGGAAAGGGTCGGTGCTGCACTGAGCAGTGACTCACCCCCTTCCGCAGGATCTTGCCCTTGCTGTGATTCTTTCCAGTTTCTAAAGGCCTGGTCCCAAGAGCATTTGTCGTGGGATTTCCCAACTGGTTCAAGAGCTGTGTGGGCAGATGGACAAGTCCCTGCTAAGAGAGAGGTCTTGGGTATGGGGAGACCTAGACCCTTATTGCTGAGGAAAGAGTCGAGGCTGGGTGGTAGCTCATGCATATACACACTCAAGGTCACCCTAAGGGCAGCAGAGTGGAGCATCTGGGTTCCCCCATTTAATGAGTGAACCGGGCAGTGACTTATTAATGTCCCAGGGCAGAATGCAAGGCACAGAGAGAGGGCCAGGCCCTCAACTCCATCTCACGTGGCATCCTTTACTAGGACATGTGGGCTTCCCGCAGGGCCCCAGCCCAGCTGCTGAGTTTTTTTTCCCTTAGGCCCTGAGGCAGTATGTGACTAGAGCCAGACTTCACAAACGCCAATGAGGATGCCATTCTGCCCAAGTGGTCCTGACCCTTAGAAACAGCTATGCCAAATGCTAGGCATTGGGATGTTGTAGGGAACTAGATAGGCTGGGTTTCCAGCTCTAGTGGCTATAGCCTACTTCAGAGCAGCTATAGATTTATAATAAACTTATAAATGAGTATGAGTATGTCCCGTGGGGGACATCAACAGGTGGCCTGGTAATGTGCCAGGAACTTTGTCTTAGTAAGGAGGTCAAAGAAGTCCTCTGAGAGGTAGGGTGGCCCAGAGTCAGCTCTGGGCTATAGAGTTGAGTTCTCTCTCCCATGTCCCCTTGGTGGCTTGGTGGAATGGCCTAGGGGGAAAGGTATAAACTTCAGGGTGGCTCTCTCTCTGTACCCTCACAGGTCCTCTGTGGTGCACACAGCCCACCTCTCAGCCATGCGTTCTCTCCTTCTGGCCTCCTGCCTCTTGGCTGTGGCCCTGGCAGCCGAGGTGAAGAAACCTGTAGAGGCCGCAGCCCCTGGTACTGCAGAGAAGCTGAGTTCCAAGGCGGCCACCCTGGCAGAGCGCAGCACAGGCCTGGCCTTCAGCCTGTATCAGGCAATGGCCAAAGACCAGGCTGTGGAGAACATCCTCCTGTCACCCTTGGTGGTGGCCTCATCCCTGGGTCTTGTGTCACTGGGTGGTAAAGCCACCACAGCATCTCAGGCGAAGGCGGTGCTAAGCGCCGAGAAGCTGCGTGACGAGGAGGTGCACACGGGGCTGGGTGAGCTGCTGCGCTCCCTCAGTAACTCCACCGCTCGCAATGTGACCTGGAAGCTGGGCAGCCGCCTGTACGGGCCCAGCTCCGTGAACTTCGCCGATGACTTCGTGCACAGCAGTAAGCAGCACTACAACTGCGAACACTCCAAAATCAACTTCCGAGACAAGCGCAGCGCCCTGCAGTCCATCAACGAGTGGGCCTCGCAGACCACCGACGGCAAGCTGCCAGAGGTCACCAAGGATGTGGAGCGCACAGATGGGGCACTGCTCGTGAACGCCATGTTCTTTAAGCGTGAGTCTCGGGATTGGAGTGAGGGAGATTGGGACTCTTTCCCAGTTTCCTGGGAGCTTGCTTTCCTTATGCTAAATTGATTTTCATCTGAACATGATGACGACAGCTGGCAGAGGCCAGGTGAAACTAGATCCAGTGCAGGAGCCAGACAGGAATCTCTGGGATAGGACTGTACTTAGCCACAGTAGTTTCTGCCAGCTCGTGAAGGTTGGAACCTATAAGACTCAGGAATCAGTTCTGCTTCAGCAGAATGAATTAAGGAGCCATAGATGCAGGGTCAGGCTCATCTCACAGTTAAGGAGACTGATGTCCAGCTAGGAAGAAAAAGATCAGGACCAAGGGCATCTGAATTGACTGATGGTCAGATCTGGGGTTCGTGGTTTTGTGTGAGTATCCAGAGGTGAGCTAAGAGCTGCTGGCATGTGTAGGTGAGAAGTCTAATTGTTATTAGTCTGTCTGGATTGGGCTGTAGGTCTGGGTGGGATTAACTGGCTACTTACTATGTTTATGTGTGCACCTGCATAGGTTTATGTGTGTCATGTACATAGTGGAGCTACGAGTGTATGTGAGCCACCTTGTGGGTGCTGGGAACCAAATCAAGGTCCTCTGCAAGCACAGTAAGCACTCCTAACCACTGGGTCATCTACCTATCCATCCTTGAACTTGTGGAGAATTAAGGATGGCTTTTGCTTACTCCTGCCTAAGGGACAGACCCCACCTCAGTTACCCAGTGGGGAAGAAAGCCTGCCTCAACAAGTTTCCCAGACACTGGCAGATGCCACCCAAACAGAGGAACACGAGCTTCTTGTAATGAGATCAGAGAGAACTGTGTGTTCAGACAGGGAACCTGTATTCTGTGAACTAAGGACTTGTCACTCTTGAGGGAGCAAAGGACATGAGGCATGGATAGAGTCTAGAGTCACAGTTGGGATGGCTGTACGCCGGGGGACACAGCCCACTGACACGGTGTTCTGTTTCTTTGCTGTAGCACACTGGGATGAGAAATTTCATCACAAGATGGTGGACAGCCGTGGTTTCATGGTGACTCGCTCCTATACTGTGGGTGTTACAATGATGCACCGGACAGGTAGGCATCTGGTCGGACAGACAGTCAAGGTGTGGGGTTCCAGGGTACCTAGAATCTGGTTTGTCTCTTATCCTCCCCCCCCCCCCCCAGTGTGCTGAGCATCCTGCGCTTTTGACACAGGCCTCTACAACTACTATGATGATGAGAAGGAGAAGCTGCAGATCTTGGAGATGCCCCTGGCCCACAAACTCTCCAGCCTCATCATCCTCATGCCCCACCACGTGGAACCCCTCGACCGCCTGGAGAAGTTGCTGACCAAAGAGCAGCTGAAGGCCTGGATGGGGAAGATGCAGAAGAAGGCTGTCGCCATCTCTCTGCCCAAGGGAGTGGTGGAGGTTACCCATGACCTGCAGGTGAGGGCTGGCGGGTAAGGGCTATCCTGCATCCATAGAGCATCCAGGTAGTACTGGGCTCTGCTAATGCTGGGGATAAGTGGACTCGGTCCTTGGGAGGATGATGTGGGTAACAGCTGAAAACAACTGAACAGCAACTAGGTGTTGTCTCTATGCAGCTGCTGCTCATAATGGACTACACCCACTTAGGAAAATCCCCACAGGCTAAACAATTCCCCTTTGATGGCTTTCCTTTCAGATAACTCTATCTAGACTGTGTCAAGTTAACAAAGCTAATGAGAAGGATATACAGATCCTAGTAGTACACAGGGGCAGGAAGGGAACAGTGGTTTGAAGTGTCTAGCACCATGCCTGAGGCAAGGTGGTCAGGATGTGGCTGTCTCCTTTTGGAGAAGCCTCCAGGTGGTGTAGATGCAGGATAAGGATGTGAGAGCCTGGAACACGTGACCTCACTTAGCGCCTGCTCCCACAGAAACATCTGGCTGGACTGGGCCTGACGGAGGCCATTGACAAGAACAAGGCGGACTTATCACGCATGTCTGGCAAAAAGGACCTGTACCTGGCCAGTGTGTTCCATGCCACTGCCTTCGAGTGGGACACAGAGGGCAACCCCTTTGACCAAGACATCTACGGGCGTGAGGAGCTGCGCAGCCCCAAGTTGTTCTATGCTGACCACCCCTTCATCTTCCTGGTGCGAGATAATCAGAGCGGCTCCTTGCTATTCATAGGGCGCCTGGTCCGGCCCAAAGGAGACAAGATGCGTGATGAATTGTAGAGCCCCTGAGTGGGCATGGCATGGCAGGAAGTGGCCAAAGTTCCTGAGACACTTGGGTGCTATTGTGGGTGGGGGGATACCAGCCTTGAATATTCCATGGGGTGGGGGAGTTGGTAATGCAGATTTGAATTCCCATATGTCTAAGTGGACATTTCTAGCTAAAATCCACCCCCAAGAGAATGTGGGGCCCAGATACTCTGATGCCAAATTCAGGGGTGTCTCAGTCATCCTGCCCTGCCCTCCAAGTTCTAGATCTAATCTGCCTCAGTCAATCAGTGTTGATATTTATGGCCAAGTCCTTATCTGTGAGACAATCGAGTTGTGGGTAGGGCAGCCCTCTTTGTCACCATACCCTCAGTCCCCAGATCTGCTCATCCCCCAACTCCCTTTAACCACAAAACTAGGTGCTGCAGCCCCAGGACTGGCCAGGCCACCCTTAAAATGACCCTTGCCCGGTGATAGGAGCTGGGAGATAGCACAGGAGGGACTCCCTGGCAAACCCCGCTTTGGAGCCACTACCCTGGGCATTGCAGGGGTGAACTTCTGTTTTTCTCCTCTTTTAGTTTTTCAAAGATGGGGAGGGAAGGGGGGGAACATGAGCCTTTGTTGCTTTCAAAATGAGGACTTAATTTGTACAACTTTTTTTGAATAAAACTTTTCCAATAAAATGTTACAGGAGCGTGGAAGTAGATTAAAGAGGGCTCCCATTTCATTCTCTCCAAGAGACAAAGTCTGTGGTTTAAGCAGACCATGTCTAGCTCTGGAATGCTGGCAGACAACTGAACAATCAATGGCATATGGGCCCTTTGTGTTGACTGGGGACTATGTTCTGATCTGAAGCCTTGGAGAAGTTGGCGTTCCAGGGCCTGAACAACAGAGCTCAGGTAGCCTGGTCCTACATTGAGGGATCCTGCTTGGCAGGTCCCTGGTCTCATTGCAAGTTGATCTCAACCCAGGGACCAGAGAGGGCACAGTTCATAGGCTTCCTGCTTGGTCTAAGCTGTCCTCTAGTGATTTGTGCCTAAACAAACACAGAGGGTTATTTCTTCAACAGTGCCCTACTTCCTGTCCTTGTCCTTACCCTTTGTCGTCCAGCACCCTCTTTGCTGGCATGACACCAGCATGCCAGTGGATATCTGTGAGAGCATACAAGCTCTAGCAAGCTAAACTTGCAGAGAGAGTCTCCTAGCTTGGGCTGCAGGTGGGGTATACTTCACCAGGGCTGTGTCTGGGAACAACAGATCTGTACCTTGCAAGCCTCAATACTTCTTTGCCTGTTTTTCTAGCCTTGTCCTGCCCATCACCTTGTTCCCACATCCCAAGGCTTCATGGGCAGTGGGGGAAGCCTCTTGAGCTGGAGGATGTGTACATGTGCATGCCACCTCACGGACAGGGCAGCCCAGTGAGCCAGTCTCAGGCCTGGGGTGAGGGAGGGGGTACATTTCCTAGTGGTGAGCCAGGATATGAGTGAGGACCAGTTGTATGGGCCAATTCATCCTCTGGAACCTGGGCATCTTTGGAATAGAATTGCTTTGTCCCACTCAATCAATTGTCCACCATGTCTGTGGGTCTGATTGCCCCTGGGTCAGCAGTAGGGAATCTTCCTTTCTCCAAACTTCCACCTCCTGCAGCCACGTTGGAAGGCTTCAGAACAGCTAGGAAAGAGTGGGGCCATGAATGAAGTCTGCATCTAAGGGACAAGAGACTGAGGGTCACTCTGCCTTCTGATGAAACGAGGACAGTGTGTGTGTGTGTGTGTGTGTGTGTGTGTGCTGGTGCACACACCTGTACAAGTGTGCATGCATACATGCATGGATAGTCTGCTGCTCCGAGGCTGAGCCTCTCTGCATCCCCGCGCTGGAGTCGGTTTTCTGATCTCTACTCAATAAGACTTACAAAGTAGGAGACTGAGGTGGACTGTGGTGGTGTTTTGCTTATGATCTAACAAATACAACTTGCCAGAAGATCAGAGTGCAAAGATAGCCACACTAGTTAGCCCTAGAGGCCAGGCAGTGGTGGCACACGCCTTTACTCCCAGCACTAGGGAGGTGGAGACAGGAGTGATATGGCTGGGCTGAGAGAGGAACATAAGGCAAGAGTAGTCAGGAAGGAGATCAGCTGCAGCTGCAGTCTGAGAATTCATGTTACAGTGGACTTCCCTGGGCTTCCAGATCTGCCAGCCCTCAGAGCACACCTGTAGTCTCTCAGCTCTCTTGTGACGCTCAGTGTCTCCTTGTGGAGTTGTTCTCTTTACCTTAGGCCATGGTTCCTCACGGATCTGCGCCCGCCCTTCTCACCTTCAACTACACTTCTCTAATAGTCCCTTAAATTGCCCCGGCATTACCCTAGGCTACTTCTCCTTCCATGCTGACACTCTGAGGAAGCCCTATTTCCTCTCAAGATCACCCTGCAGGAACTACCCTTTCCAAACACAAAGCAATAACACCAAGACTTGCCTCCAGTCAGCCCTTCTGGTAGCCAGTGGCTTCCTGGACACCTGCCCCTGGCTAACCAAAGGCCCTCGGGAATGCCGCCAGAGAGGGCACTGTGCATGAGGAAGACCTGAACAGAAGAGGGCCATGTCCAGACAAGGGGCCTTTTCCTGTCTTCAGAGTCCTCCCTAACTGCAAACTCTCATAATCACAAGCTCTGGAACAGGAAACCCCAGTACTGTGTGTCTGGTGGAGGAGCCAGCTGCCGCCAGCTTCCTGGGGGAGGCTTGCTAGGGAAGGAAACCAGGCCATTCGCACGGTCTGTGATGGTCTCTCTGCTAGAAACCAGCTGAGTTGCCTTAAGAGGTGACTTACGACTTTGCTGGGGTAGGTGTGGGTTTGTGAGGCCAGCTTTAGTGGGGCAACAGTGGAGTACCCCATTTTTCTGCCCCAGTGTCCACCCCTGCGCCCGGAGGCTGTGGGCCTTCTCTTCTTCTTTGTGCTTGCTTATTGTGTATGTGAATGAGGGTGTGTTTGTGCCAGGGACACCAAGTGTGTTAGAGGACACCTCAGGCATTGGTCCCCTCACCTTTCACCTGGTTTGAGAAAGGATATGTTTGTTGTTGTTTATTGCTGCATGTGCCCAACTAGCCCAGCCTGAGAGCAGTTCTCCTGCCCATCTCCATCTCCCAGCAAGGGTGTGCTGGGATTACAGATACATGCATTACCATGGCCGGCTTTGGCTTTTACATTGGTGCTGGGGATCCAAACTCTGGTCATTAGGTCTGTGGAGCAAGTATTTACCCACTGACCTATCTCCTCAGCCATACTTAGATATGCTATTATATTTAATGATTTTAAGTATGTTTATTAAATATACAGCATTTTATGGAAGAAAAACAAAATAAATAAATAAACCATCACTATCACCATCATCGTCCTTGCCACCCCACTCCTCACCCCTCTGTCCCTCCAACCCTGGCTATATCCATGAAGGCCTTGAGGCCAGTGAAGGTATGGCAAGTCTTGTAGCTGACCAAGGCTGAGCTTCAGAGCTCGTGGCTCTCACCCTCCCTTCTCCCCCTTTCCATTTCTTCCTCACAGTCTGGCTGTGGTTCTCTGTCCTGTAGTAATACTCTCCCAGCCACAGGACTGAGCATAAAACATCCTTGATGGTTGCAGGTATCTGCCAAGACCTACAGGCCCTTGGTCAAGTCTGTATGCAAACTGGGTTCTTTTCATCCAAGGATAGTCAGAGGGGCTGTCCTGGCCCACCAGCCTCTTGTATATTGCCCTTTCCTGGGCCTCCTGGACCATCCAACACCCTTTCAAAATGCTGTGGCCATTTTCTCCAGGGATCTTCCTGGCTCTGTCTACCAGGGGTCCTTCCGCATTGAGCTTTTGAAGCCAGGAGTTAGCTTAAGCCTCATCCCACTTTACAAGTCTAGAGTCATTTTACCAGGCATGATGAAAGACACCTTGAATCCCAGAACTTCAGGGGTGGAGGCAGAAGGTATCCTCAAAGCTACAGAGACCTGTTACATGTAGGTTTTCCTGCCAGCCTGGTCCTACAGCCTCGCCAGCCCCAAATAACACACAGAGACACTGTATTAGATATAATGCTGTTGGCCTGTTACTAGCATTTCTTATTGGCTATCTCTGTCTTAAAAATTAACCCATTTCTATAAATCTAAATGTTCCCACATGGTCTTGGCTTACCAGAGACAGGGACTGGAGTTCTGTTCTCTCTGTCCTCCATGTTGAATCTCCTCCCTACTTCTTCTCTCCTCCTTGTCTCCTAGTCCTGCCTATCTTGCTTTCCTATTAGCTAACATATTTACAGAATGACATCTCCCATCAGAGACCCTGTTTCAAAACAGACAAACAACAAACAAACCCCCAGACCTATATAGTGACAACAAAAGTTGGTTGATAACCTTTACAGCAGAGACCCCACTTCTTTACAGAGTACGTGCTTGAGGAGATGTCTGCTGCTTGTGTGAATGGGCAGGGAACTAGGAGCATTTAAAATTTTTAAATTTATCAACAACAACAATAAAAAAAAAAGCCAGGTGGTGGTGGTACACAGGAAGGCAACTGTGGGGGCAGTTGGGAGGCAACTTGGGAGGCAGAGGTAGGGGGCTCTCTGAGTTTGAGGCCAGCCTGGCCTGCAGAGTGAGTTCTTGGACAACCAGGTCTACATAGAGAAACACCTCCTCAAAAAAATAAAAATAAAAAAAAAACAAAAACACCTATTTTGTCTGGGCACAGTAGCACACACATTTCTATAATTCAAGTACTTGGAAGATGGGCAGAAGCATCCTGAGTTCAAGGCCAGCCCAAGTTACACAGAAATGACCCCTCTATGTAGCCCTAGGCTGAACTTTAGGCCCTGGCTCAAGCCATGGTCATACTTCAGCCTCTTGAGTAGCTGAAACCATAGGTCTGTATCACTATACAGCTAAGGCAAATTTATAGACCCCATATTCAACTGTTATGGGTACAGAATAAGAATTAGCAGCTATTGGCTTTGAGCCTCATTAGAGAGTCCTGAGATTCCTGATCAAGAAACTTGGGGCCTGGATTAGATGAGCATTACTACTGACCCCATGACCAACAACAATCACCCCTAATCTCTCCAAATTAGTCGAAAGTTTCACTTTCATATGTGGGCTTCAGCTCTGACCCATCCAGAGCTCAGCCTGCTGGGATTTGCCTCTTGTGGGCTTTCAAGGCTCAGATCCTTGTATTGTCTTGCCACTTTGGTGGTGGGCTCCACGCTCAGTCTCCCAGCATCACTCACTGTTGTGTAGCTGTGTTTTGGGAATTGAAACATCTCCTCCTGGAGGGAGGCTGTGGGACTCAGAAAAAGAATGGAATTTAAAAGTCTCAGGAAACTCCTGAAGCATACAAGATTCACAAGGTCCTGCCTCAAGTCTATATAAGTAAGGATCAGGAAACTCTTGAAACATAAACGTAGAGAGGAGTCAAGATACAGGGACTTGAGAGAAGAGGTCTGGATCCCCTCTTGGGTAAGATAAGACCAGGTGGCTCTGAGACCAGGCTGGCGGGAAACAAAATGGTGGTAACAAAATGTTTCCTACACCATGGGTATTAATAGCTTCCACTTAAAACTTGATAAAAGCTGAAGAAAGGATTTTAGAGACAAAAGAACAGAAACAAGCAAGGAATCTTGGTAGCAGCATTTTTTTCCGGTGGGCTCTGTTTTCCTAGAGACAAG